CTTATACTTTACTATTGAAAAATTGTCATTTAAATGCCACTTGTTAATGATAAATTTTTGGCAGTCTATCTATACATAATCTAAGGGTGGAAAAAACTTTTGCTAAAAATAATCGGGAATAGAAAGGATATTATGCCATGTACTAAAAATGTATGCTCTGTAAAGAAAGATAGGTGAGCTAGTTTCTACCTGTTTTGATTTTTTTTTCTTTACCAAGTCTTTATGTAATAAAAAGGGCAATTTATAAAAAAATTTTAGGAAATAAGAAAGTTATATTCGCTCATTTTGAATAATCTGGCAACTTTAAATGAAAGTGATACAAGTTCCTCCTCAAGCTGGCTTGGAGTTCCTTAAAGAATAACAGTTCAAAACTGTTGGAATTGAGAGCAAATCACCTTCTAGCTTCTTTAGAGAGATCCATACTGTGTCCTTAAACTTAAGAAAATCACATTATGAAGCATCAACATTATTTTCAGAATTGTTCCTTTTTTTTTTAAGATTTTATTTATTTTGGGATAAAGACAGAGAGTGCAAGTATGAGCAGGGGGCGGGGCAGAGGGAGAGGGAGAGAGAAGCTCAAGCAGACTCCCCGCTGAGCTCAACTGACTGAGCCACCCAGGGGCCTCAGGATAGTTTATTTTATGATCAATTCTTTTGCAAACTTTTCTGGGTAAAATCAAAGTGGCTTCATAGATTAAAAAAAAAGAAAAGAAAAAGAACTAGAGACTGAGTGCATCCCAGATTTTTTTCATGCGAACAATAGTGTCTTAGAATCTTGAAGACTTCAAGGAAGAGATGTGTTCAGGTAAGCTCAGCAGAGACCTCATCTACAGACACGGAGAAGGGTGGAGTCTTGGGATATTGGCATAGTCAGCTGAGCCATCTTGATGCCAGTGCCTCCAACTGATCATCATCTGTCACACGGAGATGAGGCATAGGGTGGTCGTTAAATAACCTGCCAGTGAGCGCGGAGCTGTGAGTCTCGGAGCCTGTCCTCATAACCGTTGAACTGTATTGCTTCTGCAAAGACTCAGAGAACCAGAATCAGATAACAGGAGAGCCTACAGGGAGCCTAGAAAGCCCACGTCAGGAATTGAACCTTGTAATCCACTTAGGGGCTGGGAACATCAATTGTAAAACTTAAAAATTTAATTTTGTATCTTTGGACTTACCTTGTTTGTTGATATTATTCAACTTCTTGAAATTATTAACTGCAAAAAATTAAAAAAGAAAAGCTACTTTACAAATACGCTGTTCTAAAATGTAGTTGAGTGAGGAGAAAATATTCCCAGTCAGGACCATGGGGCAGCCTCTAGGCAGAGGACAATTGGGCTTCTCTGTGTTGTTCAGAAGGGATGTAAGAAAAGCCTTTACACATGACTCGAGATGGCCAAAATCTAAACTCTGCTTCAAACATTCAAGCTGGGGGATTCTGAGGAGGCTGATTTTTGTTTGTTTGTCTGTTTGTTTTCCTTTTTCAGATGTTCTAGTCTATTTCCCCCCACCCTCCCTGCACAGATGAATTAGACAGAGGCAGTGTTATGTGAGATACCCAGAATGAAAGGGTGTAAAAAACGACTTCAAACTTGCAAGCTGGAAATGAGGTGTTATCTTTCCTCCTGACACACAGTTTGTTTAGGAACTAGAGTCTTTCCTGAAAAGGGAGCAGAGGTCTCTGACACTCATAATTAGACTGGAACCTCGTCAGTAGCTGAGACCAAGTCCCATGGAAACCAAGGCTGCCAAGATCAGGTAGGTTTGGGTAACACTGCAAGAAGCCGTTTGTCACTGGGAATGTCACAGGTACCACTGTGTCAGGTATGAGGCAGGAGGACATTGTTTTATGGTTAGAAAATGCATTGAATTGAAACAGGGCTTGCAGACCTTGGGGCTAAACAGAGACTTGGGTTAATGGGATAGTCGGTAGGATCCAGTATTAGGAAATATTTATGTCCACTTGGATTTTTGTAACAGAATACTCATCAATCATAGAAGATAAAGCAAGGAATGCAGTTCCTGGGTTCACATGCTGAAATCATACCTGCCTGTAGATAGAAAGGTCAGTACATGCCCCACCTATGTGTTTAAGCTTAGGGGGAAATGACAGGGGTCCAGTCAGCCAGATGTTGTGAAATGCATTTTAGTGAAATTGAAATATCTTCATGAAGCCAATGTGGGTCTCAGAGATGGGCAGAAGTTCCTACCAAACCCAGACATTCCTCAGAACCCCAAAATCCTTGCTACCAGTGAAGCTACTGATGCCATACAAGAGTAAAACAGCCATGCCTCAGACCAAACAGTGACATGATGACCAGAGCTTTGTTGTGGCCTTGAGGACTGAGAGGTGAGGGAGGTACGAGCCAGGCCGCAGAGGCCGGATCCCCAGCCAGCAAGTTTTAGGTGAGCAGAGAGAGAGATTCTTACTGAATCAAAGCCCCTACCTATCCAGACATCAGGGTCCTACTGTGCACCCCACCGTGCACCCCCAGATTTCTATTCCCAGTTCCAGGATGTCTCCCAAATGAGATTGTTGCCAACACTTCAGCAAGAATCCCTGGCACTTGGTAGATGTCAGCATGAGTAAGACATTGTGAAGTCAATCCAGAAACACCTAGACTCCAGAGAGAGAAACATCCCTTCACCTCACCCCCAATTTGTTGGAGCTTCAGTGAGGAAGGACAACCAATGGCAAAGTACAATCAGGAGGTCAGAAAAATGTAAATATCCTATCATTTCTCTCTGGGAAGGAAGCAAGACCCATGGCACAGTGGTAAGAGAGAATCCAATTCTGATATTGCTGAGTTAGCTTTTCGGATAGTTACCAGTTTTCCAATCTCAAAGTAGGCTCATTCTTAACCAGTTCTAAGCACACACATGTGTACACACACACACTTAAATATACACACTCAAATATACACACACACTCAAATATATATATACTATCTTTATATATATTCATATATATATAATATATATATATTCATACCTATGTGTATTATGCATCTACACTGTAATAAATGTATACTTTATATAATATTATATTACATAGTATATTACAAAGTACAGGTGATTTTCAAGGTAATAGAATTTATTTATTCATTCCTTTTTTTTTTTTTTTAACAAATATTCAGAGTTCTCACAACGATGCGGATACTATTTTGCATGCCAGGAATGTAAGTCAGACAGGGTCCCTCCTTTCATGGACTCTATCTTCAAGTCTGGGGAGACACAAAATGAGGAAATAATAAAACAAAATAATTCAGGGTCATAATAATTGTGATAAAAAAATTAAAACAGAGCCATATAACTGAAAATGCCTGGAGTTGGGCAGTTTAGGCAAGATGTTGCCTAAACATTAAAATACATTGCCTTTATCCATCATTTTTTCCAAATTCTGTCCTCTATTTAGGTTCTTTGATTCATGTTTCATCAACCAGGAATGTGGAGAGGGTAGACTAGAGCAGGAGGCCAGAGTTTTGCCATATCGTGCTGGAACCGCACAGGTTAGACTAAGGGAAGGCAAGGCACTGGGGGCCTTTAAGCTCCCCAGGACTTCTCTCTGGCCCTGCTTTAGCCTTGAGCACTGAGTCTAGGTGTGATGGGCAACAGGGGCCCGTGTACCTGCCCCTGATTGCCCCATCCTGGCTAGTTTTCTCCAATAAATGCTGTGCTGGGTCTGGTGTGTGTACTGCCAGCTCATAATACTTGTTTGCCACTTAGATTCATGCTAAGGTGTATTTGTGAATGTTTATTGCAGAAGGCTTGATAATAAGGAAGATTACATAGTATAAGTGTCTAACAACTGAATATTGGTTAAATAACATACATGACAAACATGACAAAACGAGGAAGAATCATGTTGTTCTGAGAAAAAACTGTATTTTACCAATTCTATAATCCATAGTCCTTTTGATCCATCCATCCATCCTTCTTTCCTTCCTTCTGATTAATTTTGTTATTAACATTCAACAAGCCATTTTTTCCCCATGAAGTATTTATCATGTTACTTCAAGGAATTGATAATAATATCTAATCTTGTTAAAGTGACTCCATTTCCTGATTTTGCACTATATCTAAAATCTTCAGTGGTCTCTCCCATTTAAGATTTTGGTCACGAAGACTTTATAAGACTACAAATGATCTGATGCTAACCAAAGCAGCCCCAAAGATATGCCTTACAGTAGGTGACACTGAAGTATTTTCTTCTGATTAGATGGTCATTAGCATAATTATTATAGAAATGTTAAGACTTCAGTCAAGGGTGACTGTGGCCAATCAGAATTTTTAAGAAGTTGTAATCTGTGTCCACTTAACTCAGTTGAATAGCCCAACATGCACTAAAGGCATAAGGAAATACATGGGGTGTGGGGGAAATGGGGTGGTATCAGTCAAAGGGTACAAATTTTCACTTATAAATAAGTTCTGGTGACCTAAGGTGCAGCATGATGACTATAGTTAACAATACAGTATTGTATACTTGAGAGTTGCTGAGAGAGGAGATCTTAAATGTTCTCACCACACACACACAAAGGTAAATACGGGAGGTGACGGAAGTGTTAACTAATCTTATTGTGGTAATCATTTGACAATATATACATATATCAAGTCATCACGTTGTACACCTTTTATACAGTAAGTCACCTCTGTCTCAATAAAGCTAGAAAAAGAAACAAAGAAAACACAGATGAATTCTAAGAAACCACATCCCTTAGAAAAAAGCAATCTGTGAGTGGTTGGCTCTAAGCACCTTAGGGAAGTAGCAGTTAGGGCAATATTCTAGCCCAGAGGCTGGGTAATAGGTGATGGCTGCTGGGAGAGGCAAACATACAGTGGGAACAACGTGCACAGACAGGTATGGGTGAGTAATCCCAGCAGAGACTGTGGATGAATGTTAGGAAATGAAGATCCAACTATTGGGAAGTGAGCTCCTTTCTAACTTGCACTTTGTTTATATGACAATAAGTATGATTAGAAATACACAGAGATTTACACACAGAAAATTATTTTTTAAGCAACAGTTCTTTTATTTGTCGGGACAGGTGTTCCAATTGCAAGGATGAGCGTTGATATCCATTCAGAAACAATTCATCTCAGTTTCCATTAACCAGCTTAGAGCCTGGTTCAAAATGCAGTTAATTTTATTTATGTGATGTCTTCTGACTTCTGGGTGCCTAGAGAAACAGAACTCAAATTATATTCTAAGAGCAAGGTGGTAAGCAAGCTTCTCAACTTCCAAATGAACAAACAAAAGAACAAAAAGTACCAGGGGTGGGAGTTGGGGAGGGTTTGAGGTAGCAATGAAAACCAAAGTCCTTGGTTTTTGGTAAGAAAGCTCATTCTGTGATGTTTGGAAGTGGGGAGCAAACTAGCAGTTCCATCATTGTATATCATCAAAAAGAAGAAAAGTTTTTCTCCTTCACGTCTGAGCGTAAAGCAAGTACCCAGAAAGCAACTGCCTTTCTTCAGGTCACTTGAACCATATGGTGACTTGATTTCATTTGAAAATCAGTTTTGTGTTTTGATTACAATAGTCAGTAAGAACATACTGGAAAAACATACTGACATCATGTAGTTTTCAATGATTACTTATGTGGAGATCTGACTTAGAGGAGAAACTTCTCCCAGTGAGGCCATTCTGTGGCTAACCCTTCTTGTATGCAGTGAAAGTAAGTCCATTTTCTGCAAGTTTTATTTTGTAGAATGTCATATGGAGACACTCTAGTTCAGCAGTAACTAAAATGGACCCATGACCGAGACAGCCTTAACATTCCTCTCAGCTTGCCTGACTTCAGACAGACTTCTTCCTGATTTCAGCCTCCTGACCTCCCTTTTCTCAGAGCATCTGCTTTAGGAAACATGTAAATTCTTTCTCCACCCCTTTGAGATATAAACCTTTTAGAAGCCTTTTACCAGTTTTAAACCCAGGAATGTATTTCTCCTGGAGCTGGGAGTTATTTCTTTAAAATGTAATCATCAAGGGGATAGGGCTACAGTTTCTGTGGGAGAATAGGAGGCTAACTTTTAAGTTCTATGGTTGTATAGTAGCAAGCACAGATGGCCTAATCACAGAGAAAAACATTCGCAAACCCAGGAATAACTCAGTGACTCCACTCATCTCATTAGCCAACCTTCCCTCCTAATGTCCTCCAGCACTCTTCCACACTCTCACCGCAGTGCTTACAAACTCTCCTGCTTTTTATTTCAACAGACATGAACTCAAACTCAGTTCTGGCCTTGCTCTCCTGTTGCAATAGCTTTGCATAAAATCTTCCTTACTTATTTAACTTTGGTAGAATTTTTGCTTTGACACCCAAATGTGATTATCTGTGGTGGGCATGAAAGCCTCTATTATCCTGACAAGCTGCCTCATATAATTAGTGTGACCAGAAGGGTTTTTGTGGAGGATAGGGACAGGCCTGGATGAGAAAAGAATTTATTTGCATGTAGTGATAGGTCTCTACCACTTTGTCTACTCGATCTTAATGAAAATAACAGAACAAAACTACAGATTACATTTCATAATTTGTGTAACTATTGTATTACAAGTAGTTTGACAATCTCTGGTGTTAATAATTCATTGTTTTCTTTCAGGAATGTTATTGGCTGGAGTAGGGAAGAGTGTTTATACCCCCTATATCCTATGGATTGTTGGAGGCAGAGAGAGAGAGCAAGCGAGTGAGCTATGTTGGTACACCTGCATTCTTGCATACTTAGAAGAAATCAGTCTAGACTTACTGAAACCCCTGAAAGCAAATATCAGGAACCATAGAAAGAAAGCCACAAACCACCAGGAGCTTTATGCCCTCATGTTAATTGCTTCAGACTTCAGGTAGTGACCCTAAGGAGTGTTATTTTTGGAAAATATCTTTGGACTTAGAAAGATTACATCCATTTGTAGCTATCTGGTGGCTGTCCATTATGAATGGAGCTCCTTGAAATTCTTTAAAAACTAAGGAGTTGTGAAAATGTTAAACTTTCTTTTTCTTGAGACTTTTTGTTATTGTTTGTCTTACAAACCATCCCCAGCAGAATATGATTAAACCAATGAAAAAGGAGTTTGATTGTGGTGGTGATAATGTCAGTGGTGTGGGGAGAGGAGAGAAGTTTAGAATCATACAAGGAAAAATGAAGATGGTATAATTGTCATCACCAGTCATTACCTAATTAGGCTGTCCTACTCTCTTAGAAATAATAGCAAATTTAATAGCTTTATTTTATGTCAAAGATGGATCTCACAGATAACTAGCAAATTGCCTAATACTCTAAAGTTCTAAGTAAATTTCCTGAGTTAAAGTCAGTCTTTATTGGTGATGAAATCCTTTGAGAATTCTGCAATGAGCTGGGTCTGGGGGGAGTGAGATAGGAGAGGCTCTTGCTTATGACAAAAACAAACTTTGATGCCCCAAAGAAAATAATTTTCTCTAAATCAATAGCAAATCAGAACCAGACACAAGTTGATCTTTTGAAGAACTCCTAGATGTCAGAGTCTGGAACTGTTTGAAGTACTGCAGCTTAAGCTCAGAGGCTTTCTTTGAAGATCTGGTCTGAAGCAGTTGCTTCACCTTTTGGAGGTTCCTGCGATTTCAATACCCTAAACCATATAGCAGATTAAACCTAATTCCTGGACCGCTTCAAGGCCATGAATACAAGTCTTTCACATTTATTCATTGTTTTGGAGAAAGTTCTTCCCTAGGGGTGCCATTGGAATGGATATCCCCCCCTTCCCTGACAGCCTATCTTCTCTGAGAGATGAGTATAGAAGGTTGAGGTATAAAGGCATCCCCACTGTGGTCCCTGTCAAACTACTTCTGAGTCGTTTCTAGAAAGGCCAAACTTTAGCTTCCCGGTGCAGAAACTCCAACTCCAGCATGAGGTTCAAACATGTTGTGAACATGTGTTTCCAGGGACAGATGGGGGGTGGGTGGGAGTGGAGCATGGAAGTCCCCTTTTGTTCAGGTTGCTACAAAGCTTCTGAGGAGTCCACTAAGTGCTTACAGAATCCATAAGAATTCTACATTGTTAACCCAAGGTTGCAGACTCTCATCTAATAAAACATTAGAGATAATGTTTTCAAAACACTTTTTTATTGATAATACCTTATATGTTAGAGCTCTTAATCATTTAGAAAATATTTTCACAGGCATTATCTCAATCTATGAATTTCATAGTTACCACCCACCCATCCATTCTTGTATTTATTCAATCAATAATTTTGAGTAATTATTAAGCACTAGATATACCTATATGAGCTACATATTTATAAATGTATTTTTGAATTGAGGAAATTGAGGGTAAGGTTGATTAAATGACTAGTATAGCATCACAAGAGAGTAACTTTTAGATCCAGGGCTTACACGCAGAAAGTAAGGCCAATCCAGTACCCTCCTCATGACTTTTAGATTTGAAAAGCAGTTTACTCTGGCAGGGCAAATGACTAAGACCCAGTGCTTGTTGCTGTTGAGGTAAGTTTGAGCTTTAAGTATTTTTCTTTTTTTTTTTTCCCGAGAAGCGAATCTTCCTGCCATGTAGGTGGGAAGTCTAGCTCAGGAACCAGAAAAACATTGTGATATCTATGTTTCATCACTTCTAGAAGGTGAGGAAGTAGAAGAGAGAACTAAGTCAGGTACATAATGTCAATTTATATCTCCTTATGATACATTAATGGGTCTAAAATTATGTGATCACTATTCTTTGATTTGCATGTGCCCTGGAATGTTAGCCTCAAATAGAACTTGTGCTGTTATTTGTTAAATGCGTTTCTCTGAGAAGCTCACAATGTTAAAAAAACTAGTCATCTTCCTAATTTTTATAACATCGTAGCAAGGAAACGGTGGTACAGGGAATTGAGATGATTTGGACAATGTCAGAAAAACTGTGAGACATAAACTGATATAACATAAACTGATTTAAATACATTTGAATTTAGTCAAAGTATCAGATAACACGGTAGTGTTAATTTTAGAACTTTCTTAATTAATTCTTGATACGTTGTATTAATTCTGGATGCACCTTATTATTCTTTTAGAGAATATGACCATGTTTCAAAAGGATATAGTTGCAGTCAACTTTTCTCTCAGTATTTAAGGAGTACCAGCAAGGAACATTGCCATGTATATTGGTCAGGGTAGACTAGGTTATGCCAGGAATTCCCGTGGTTAAAGACAATAAAGGTGTATTTCTGTATCGAAGCCAGGCAGAGGCTGGCTCTGGTCCCCAGGCTCACTCAAGGATTTTGGTTACGGGAGGTACCGACATTTCAACATCAGGTTTCAGGGTTTTGGTGTAGGAGGGGAGCGGGGAGATGGGGGAATTGCATGGCAAGATTTCTACTGCCTCAACCTGGAAGTAACACAGGGCATTTCTACTCACATTTCTTTAGCCAAGACCAGTCCCACTGGCCTGCCTAAGTGCAAGAACTCCTAGGAAATTTAGTTTCCCATACGTTCAAGGACAGGAGAACTGGATATGTGATATTTATCTCAGTATGTTTGTACTACTCGCAGCACATTGATGGGATTTGAGAGTAGAAAAAGATGAAAAAGTGTGTAAACCGATTGTCTAAATAAAAGAAAACACAACTGGCCTCTTGATACTGTGTATAATTCTTTTTAGTTCAAAGTATATATTTCTCAATCCATTTTCCCACATATCGTTGATCATAATAAAGAATTTTTACAAAAAGAATTTCATTACATACTGTATTACTCAGAGTTCTCTAGAGAAACAGAACCAATAGGGTGTGTGTCTTTGTATGGAAAGGTACCTATTTTAAGGAACTGACTCATGAATATTGAGGCTGGCAAGTCCCCAGATCTGCTGGAGATCCAGGAAGAGCCAATGTTGTAGTTCAAGTGCACAGGCCATCTGCTGCAGAATTCCCTCTTGCTAGGAGGGGGTCAGGCTATGGTTCTCAGGAATTCTCCTGATGAGGCCCATCCACATTAAGGAGGGTAATCAGCTTTATTCTAAGTTACTATTTTAAATGCTAATCTCATCCAAAACAATGATTATCACAGAATTATCCAGAATAATGTCTGACCACATATCTGGACACCATGGCCCAGCCAAGCTGACACATAAAATTAATCATCACACATACTTAAGTATAATTCCACCAGCTATGGGAGCAAGGAAGATGTACTTGCCCCTATGACCAGTGCCTTCAGCATGAACTATTCTTTTATAGCCACATCCAGATTTCTGATTTCATAAGAACCAATGTGTCTAGTAACAATCCCTTCAGAATTACTGAAGATCAGTTTGCTTTTAAATATTAAGCTTACAAATGAAGTCTAAAACCTAAAGGCACTGCTTCTCATTAGTTTAGTAAATTCCTTTACAGCATTAGCTCTTCTCAGATTTTCAATCACTAACCCATTACAATTTTCTTTTTTTTTTTTTTTAAGATTTTATTTATTTGAGAGAGAGAGAGAGTGAGCACGAGAGGGGAGAGGGTCAGAGGGAGAAGCAGACTCCCTGCTCAGCAGGGAGCCCGATGCGGGACTCGATCCTGGGACTCCAGGATCATGACCTGAACCGAAGGCAGTCGCTTAACTGACTGAGCCACCCAGGCTCCCCCATTACAATTTTCTATAAAAGTTTTCCTTAGATTTTTTTCTTCAAGTGTGAAAATATTTCTACCCACTTAGATAAAATTTTAAAATGTGCATTAAAATTAGATTTCTTTCTATGTTAAGAATTAGGTACTTAGAATTAAATAGCATGTTGAAAAGTAGTAAGTGTATTGTTGCCTGAAGAAAAGTCATCCAACTTTTATAAGTAGAAGAAAGGATGAAACTATCAACTATCACATAATAGCTGAAACAGGGGACTTCATGAAATATGTTTTTCAATAGTTTTTCTTTTGTAAAGTACACCGGTAAGGCACTTAATCTATGTCTCTGAATTAATAAAACAAGTGTAATCATGTTGTCACGTATTTCTAGAGCACTGGATGAGGATTAACAAGATAATGTTGGTAAATTGCTTTGCGAATCTCAGATGAAGGGCAGTGGGTGAGAAAGTAGTTACCTAAGCACTGATTACAATATACTCACATATGTGCAAACAAGTACACACACTTCTAAAGTACACAAATGTGTATGTATGTATCATAATGTGTCTGCATGTTCCTATGTCACCTGGAGCAGGGTTCTCAACCTTGGCACTATTGACATTTTGTGTCAGACAATTTGTTGTGGGGGCTGTCCTGTGCATTGTAGGACATTTAGCAGCATCCCTGGTCTCTACCCATTACATGCCAGTGGCACCCCTCACTTCAGTTGTGACAACCAAAAATGTCTCCAGACATCATCAAATGTCTCCTGGAGGACAAAAATCACCTCTGGTCTAGAATGACTGATTTAGAGGCTAAGACAGAACCAATGGCAGGGAGTTAAAATATGAGAAAATTCATAAATTATGCTAAAAGGGAGCTTCTAAATTAAGAAGAGAATAAAACAGTTTTTTTAAGGTGATTGCTTAAAGGAGACTTTTTTTTAACTTGATATGCTGATCCCCCAAATTTATATTGGAGGAAAAAAGGACAAAAATGACTTAGATAATTTTGAACAAAATTGGCAGGGGAATTGCCCTTTTGATCAATTATTATATTAATTAAGGCAGGGTGCTATTGAAACAGGAATAGACAGCCCAGTGGAACAAGATAAAGAACCTAGAAACATACACAAACACAAGATGCCCCTTAACATTTGTAGGATCTAGTGCAAGACTGCAAATGGAAACCCGTATGCCATTTAATTAAGCTAGCAAACAATTAAGTGAAATATATTTTATCTTTTTAATCTGACATATACACAGTTATATGTATATATATTTGGAAGGCAAGATTTGAATTTATAATTCTTGGATTCCTGGAGTTCTGTCTCAGAATGTGGTGGTACAGGAGAAGCAGACCTCAGACTCCAGCTCCTGAATCTCAGCCTAACCCTATTCTCTTCCCATTCCCAAAGGTCTCATGCACATTATGTATGGACACCAGGACCCTAGCCTATACATCCAAGCTCTTTTCATGAATCCACCAACACAGCATCCACTTGGCCAGCCCTCAAGCTTATGGTGGTATGGTCTCTCTTGGGGGAAGCATGTTGTGCAGGTCATATAAGTGGGCCCAGAGTTGTTTGGGCATGGAATTCTGGGATCCAGGTTATCTATCACTAGCTAGGTTTAAAACTGTGACATGGGCTCTTGCCTTGCTGTCTCCTCTCACCATAGGAAGGGATGTGGCTGGAGGGGGACCACAGCAGACCCTCTGAAGCATGGGCCCTAAGCTAGAGGCTCCCCTTCTTGAAGTCTATGGTGGTATTGCACAAACTTATAGGGAAATGTTTTTATATGACAGAGGCTTTCAAACCAGTGGGGAAAGATAAGGGCATTCAACAAACAGTATTAGAATAATTGGTCATTTATATAGAAAATGTAATTATATCTTTTCCTTATAGTAGCACAAAATAAATTCAAAACTATATTAAATACCAAAACATTAGAAGCAAAACTTTAGAGTTCTTTTTTTTTTTTTTTTTTTTTTAAAGATAAGAGAATGACTATGATCTCGGAGAGAGTATCATGTTGAGCCACAGGGGAAAGTCGGACAGATGCAACACAAAATCTATCACCACACGCTCATAATTGATATCCTGGTGAGAAGTTTAAAAGAATATTTAGTTGCTCTGTAAACATTCACTAGAACACAGTTTAGGGCCTCAGTTCAACGATGTTAATTTGTTTTAATGAACAATGTAACTGTTATGGCCATCCTACTGAAGCAGCATTGACTGTCTCCCCTCCTCCTCAAATTTAGTTCCTGTGTCAGGCTAATAAGCCACACAAGCACCAAGAGGGTATGAAAAGTTGTATTACTCACATAATGAAGCTTTCTGGGGAGAGCAGGGCAGGCACCCAAGCAGATCAAAAAACCTAGAGGCCCAGTCTAATAATGAGAAAAAAACATTAGACAAATCCCAATAAAGTGACATTGTATAAACTACCTGACCAATACCTCTCAACACTGTCAAGATCGTTAAAACAAAGAAAGTCTGAGAAATTGTTAGGTGAGCCTAAGGAGATATGACAACTTAACGTGGTCTTATCCTGGAACAGAAACAGGACATTAGGTAAAACTAGGAAATGTGATTAAAGAATGTAATTTAGTTAATAATAATGTACCAATATTGGTTCATTAATTGTAACATACCATACTAATTAAGGTGTCAATAATAGGGGACCTTGGGTGCACAACATAAATATTATAATGTCTTTGCAGTTTTCTTGTAAATCCAAAATTATTCCAAAAATAAATCTTATTTAAAAACTGTATTAAAACTTTATTTAAAAAAAACCTGGGACCAATGGGTAAATAAAAGAGATTAAAGTCCCCACACAGGGATTATTCTTCTAAGGGAGTTTGGCATGTGAAAAGACAGTCTTATAAATCAATGGGGAAAATATTAGACTTCTCACCTTATATTACCAGGGCAATAGGTTTATTCGTACTGAAAACTTAAACATAGATGCTTATCCTCAGTATTTACAAAAATACATTTTAAATGGATTAAAAACAAATGTTAAAAGCAAAACAAATATTTTAAAAGAAATTATAGGGAATAACTTTATAAGTGGAGTAGAGAAGGCTTTTCTCACATAAGATACATATAGAATAAAACACAAAGGAAACATTAATTTGGTAAAAATTAATAAGGATTAAAAGCTAATTTAATGAGGGTTTAAATCTAAAATCTTCAACTTGATTAAAAAAACAAAATAAACAAAGGCAAAAGATGGTCATTCATCAGGATAAGATATATGCAACTCTAAGTGTCAAAGGATTACAAGCAAGAATGTATAAAGAAATTCTACAGTTTAATAAATAGAAGCCAAACAACTCAATAGAAAAATAAATGGGAAAATATATGAAAAGGCAATTAAGCGCAAAGGGGGCATGAAGAAGGCTTTTCATTGCAGTATCTTTTGTTTGTTTTGTTTAAACTTTTTTTTGAAAGCTGAGGTGAGGATTTTATTTTTTTAAATTTTTTATTTAAATTCAATTAGCCAACATATAGTACATCATTAGTTTCAGATGTAGTGTTCAATAATTTATCAGTTGGTATAACACCCAGTGCTCATCACATCATGTGCCTTACTTAATGCTCATCACCCAACTGTAATAACAAAACATTGCAAACGATCTCAATGTTTATTAGTGGAGGAAAGGCAAATACTTCACAGACTAGTCTTACAAAGATATTTTCTACATTCATTATAAACTAATGAAATATGTTATCATGTCATATTTTGAATATATATTGTTAAGGGATATATATGTTCTGAAGAAGGACATATGAACATAAACAAACGACAAGCCAATTTAAAGTCATGTTTACCTAGTCATGAAAACAGATTCCTAAAATTATTATGGCAAAGTTTTAGTTAATTTAATTTGAATAACAATAGAAAATACAAAAAAGATTTATTAAATAGTTTTTGGCAATTCACAATGATCTTTCTCTCACTGACAAAAATTAGTGAAATTTTATTTTATTGACACTGGCAAAAGTAGTTTGGCAAAAATTGAGAAAATGACAAAATTTAGAATTAAACTTTCATTCAACTTCATACTATCTAGATTCCTTGAATTTATTAAGATTATATCTTCAGAAAAACGATATTTGTCAAACAATGTTGAAGACAAGGACTGTTTTGTTTCATTTTCATTCCTGTAACCCCAGTCCTCTGCCCAGTTTCTAGAGCAGAGGACCCATTCCAATATCGCTGAAGGAAAACAGGAGGACTGCTTCTCAGTCACTACAGGATAGACGCCTGACCGCTAGCTGTTAAGTCCTGGTGGGCTCCAATGCAATGCTCTTGGTCATTTTAACATTATTCCCATCTACTGAATTATTTAATATTTTTGTCAATCTGATCAACTTAAAAAACATATTCTACTTGCTTTTTTAAATGTAAAATTTTAAAATGTATTTTGTTACAATAGCCACCCTTGTTTTCTGTAATTATTTATCTTCTGTAAGTTAGATTAATAGTATCTATAATTACAGTTAAATATAATATAGATTAGTGGTCCTTAACTGGGGTAATTCTGCCCCCCAGGAGATATTTGACACAGTCCAGAGATAACTATGGTTGTCACAAACGGAGGACGTCTGCTCCTGGCATCTGGAAGGTAGAGGCCAGGAAAGCCGCTATGCATTCTACAGTGCCTGGGACAGCTCCTCCCATAACAGACTTACCTGGACTTCAGTGTCGGTAGTTAACGTTGTTGAGAAACCCTGATAAATACTGCAGGGAGATGGAAAGACATTCAAAGACCAATGAGTAAACTAGTTCTCCCCATTGAGCCAGTGTGTAACAGAAATCAGAATCTCCCAGAAGAAGAGATGAGAATGCACATGAAAGGGCTGCATGTTTTGTTTGTCTGTTTTCCTTCCTTCCCTCAGGAAGTTTGGCAGAAGTGCCCCTGTCCTCTTCCCTATGCTGTAAGGAATGGGAAGTGGGGCAGAGCCTGGCTCGGGGCAAACACTTACCTCCATAGTGATTAGAAGGAGGAGTTTTTGCCCAGAATCGAGAAGACTAAGAGCAAGCCTAAAGAATTTGACTCAAAAGGGAATGAAAACCCTGAATCCCTTGGCTCTGCAACCCACAGATACATCATGCAGCTAACAAAGGAAGTGCAAGCATGCAGTCACCAACATTAGGAAGTGGCTCAGCACCCAGGAAAACCCAAGGTCAGATCCTCCCTCCATAGAGGGCCCGGGGATTGTATATGTACTTTCCCTTATCTATTTGAACACAAACAAAAACCATTAGAGAAGCATGCAAAGGCACTGAGTGTAGCTTTAGTAAATAACACCAAATGAATGAAGAAGGAAAAAAATAATAAAAAAAAATCCTGCGAGGATCATTTATAACCTTCTACAGTCACTGGTGAGACTTTAATAAGAGTATTAAAGGCCAAATAATAAATTATGTTTGGCTGCCTTTGCATATTTTTCCATAGGTTATGCAAATAATAACTGAAATTATGCTAATCTAATCTGTAGTGGCAATCTTAATCTTAACCATAAGGGCAAGAGGAAAATGCTGAAAACTTGTTTATCACTAATCTTGCTGCCGCTGAATCTGAATTAAATTAATTTTTCCACCTTTAACAAACTGGTGAGGCAAACATCAAATATATCTCACTGTAGGAAGGTTAAAAATGTTTTTATGACCCCTGTGAAATAAAATCTCTGCATCCAAAATATGTGAGTAAGCACATGGAAATCCCCCAGAACCGTGCCTGCTGTACCGTAAAATGGGTGAGCTACTCTTTTTATTAATGCTGGGCCCCAAGACAGCTTCGAGTCTAATAAGTGCCTTGTGACTAGCTGAGTGAAGGAAGTGTAGGTGCGGTGGTCTAGTCCAGAAGTCCTCATGGGACTGACTCTGAACATCAGGGGGAAATATCTGGGGGGAAACCTGGAGATACCAGGACCAGGAACAGCGAGTGCACAATTGTCATTCGTTGTGTCCAGCAAATGTTCTTCAAGCAACCGCTTTTCCGAGTCAGGAAAAGACTAAGTAATCTGGATAGGAACAGAAATCTGAGTAAGGAAAATCAGTGACACATGCCATCTTCTAGCAAGAACAGATGAGATCACAGCTTTTAGCCATGTTGAAATAAGTGACGCGAAGCATGTACTGATTACAGTGAATCAGCTGAACATCGTGTAGAATTCCACAGGAAAAGTAGCTCAGGGAAAAAGTATTTGTTCTGATGATAACATCAGTAACATAAAATCAGCATGGGACCTATAAAAATAAGACTGTAGGATCTTATTAAAGCACATAAAACAGGATCTGAACAAATGCAGTACAAAAGAAAACGCATATTAAATATAACCACAAATCAGTTGGTAGCAATAAATGCTGACAGCGTAGAGATGTTATTGGCTAGTAACATCTAGAACATATGTAACAAACACAACAACATAACATACGGTTCACACTGTATTACCATTTATTAGAGACGTTTTTAAGACTTCTAAACATATGGGGTTATTTTGAACTATCTTTTGGTCATTAGCTACTAATTTTATTACATTGTGGTAATGAAGCATTGTCTAAAATCTATTTGTTGTAGTTTATTGAGATGTTTTATGAAATAGTTCATGATCAATTTGTAAAAAAAAATAATAAAGAGATGGACACAGTTACAAATAGACAAAATAGGGCGCCTGGGTGGCTCAGTTGGTTGGGCGACTGCCTTCGGCTCAGGTCATGATCCTGGAGTCCCGGGATCGAGTCCCGCATCGGGCTCCCTGCTCAGCAGGGAGTCTGCTTCTCCCTCTGACCCTCCCCCCTCTCATGTGCTTTCTCTCATTCTCTCTCTCAAATAAATAAATAAAATCTTTAAAAAAAAAAAAAACAAAAACAAATAGACAAAATAACAGGATCATATTGAAAATTTTATTCCAATAATATTGAAAACTAAGGTGAAAGTCATTCATAACAAAATTTTTAAAATATGAATTGATTTATAACATCGAAGCAGAATCACATCAATTTACTAACCAAAAATCTAGTTGGGTAGAGGGATGGCGAGATGGACAGATACGTGATAAACGTAGAGTAAAATGTTAGTGGTAGAATCTAGGTAGTAGGTAGAAGGACCTTCACTAAAATTCCTTCAACTTGGCTATATGAGAACTTTCATAGCAAAATTTTGTGGGAAAATTCTAGGTATTTATATAGCCAATTTTTCTCGAGTCTCAGAAGAAAGATAATCTGTATCTAATATAAGTAACTCCAGGGAATTGAAAAAGTGGGAAAGATACTTAACTTACATGATAAGAATATTGTAACCTTGATAATATAGTTGGGCAAAGACAAAGAAAGAAAACTTATAAACTAATTTTTATATGAACATTGCTGCAAAACATAAGAAAATAGCTTTATGATACTGGGGGGGCAGGGACGTGTTTCTTAAGTGAGTGTATAGAGTATATTCATAAAGGGCAAAAAAGACAAAAAACACAAAATAATAAAGGAAAAAACACATAAGTTTTACTATGTTAAAATGAACAATTTGGTTCAACGGTAATCCATCATGAAAAACAACATCAATAAGAACAACCACCGCAGTAGCCGCAACAACCTGCCAACCAGCATGAGGACTGTTATCTAAAGTAAAGAATTACTATAAACCAATAAAAAGAAATAACAGAAGGTTAGGGAAACCCAATTTATAGACAATTCAAAGAACATGAAATTCCAAGGGCTGGCTAATAAATATATGGAAAAATGCTCAACCTCAGAAAATATTAGAAAAATGTTAAAAGCAATATCAAGATAAAATTCCTATGAGAATGGCAAGAATTGAAATGTTTAACAACAAATGTTGAGAAGGATGTGGGCAAATGAGAACTCCTGTACCTTGCTGTCATACTCGGAGTATAAATGAATATGATCACTACTGAAAGACAACTAGGCAATACCTAGTAAAATTGGAGATGTCCATACTCTGGAACCGAGCAATTTCAATTGCATTGATCTGCTCTAGAGAAATTCATATATGTGCACAACGAGCCATGTGCAAGAATATTACTAGGAAAAAAATACTGTCCATTATTAGAGGAGTTGATAAAAATGTCTTTTAAAATCTAATGCTATACAGAAATTAAAATGAATAAACTAGATCTACACATATTATTACAGTTCCTAAGAAAAATATATTGTAAAAATATACCCATAGAATGATAAAATTATATAAAACTTAAAAAACAGTCCAAACACAGTACTATAAATTGATTTTACATACACACAAATATAGAAAATGTATGATATCATGGATTAGATGGGAATGAGGTTAGTGATTACCTCTGGTGGCAGTAATGAGTTTTAGGGGGCTTTAGATATTATTTGGATTACTTATTTCTTTTGGAAAAAACATATGGAATGAGTATTATAAATTGTTACTAATTTTAAAAATTTGCATGGTAGGTTCATGGGATAGTGGGTATACT